ATATGATGTATTTACAAATATTATGAGAAAGAAAGAGAACGGACGAAAGAAATTTCAAGATATATATAATAGTATATATTTTCTAGCAATAAAGGAGGCTATTCTGCATTTGGTTATTATTTAATAATATGCTTCAGTATTTGAGAGAAATCAATATAGTCATCAGCTAATTCCAGAATATCAAATAGAAGACTTTTTATTTTATATCTAAATTGAAGTTTACTTAAAATTTTCAGTGATGATGGAAGGCCATTCCAGATTTTGGTTCCGGTTATTACAAATGAGCGTTTTTTCTTTTCAGTTTTTGCGTTTTCAACATAAAAGCATTGACTAGAGGTCGATCTTGTATTGTGGTGATGTATCTCACTTGTGAGTTTGAATAATTTGGTTAGGTTAATAGGTGCAGTACCATGAAAAATGTTATGCGTAAGATTACAGACGCGCTCAAAAAAAAGAAAGGAGAACGGAAGTGTTCGCGACTCTATAAAAAAGGGGACTGCGTGTTCTTTTGAATTTGAGAAATTGATAAGTCGAAGAGCTCGTTTTTGAAGAACGAGTAGACGTTTTAAATTAGTGTTCTGTAGTGTTGGCACTTTGGCCCCAGGTACATATACCATAGCTTAAATAAGGATTTATTAAGCTTGTATAAATTGTCAGAAGAGGATTTTTGGGGACATAATGTCTAATTTTTGCAGTAAGGCTCGCTCATTGAAGAAGTTTGTGAAGTGATACACGATGAATAAAGTTGCTTTTCTAGTGTTTACATATCATAACAGAATGCGAAACTGTTTTGCAGTCGCAATGCAGGCACTTCTTCACTTTTGTTTTAATTTGATTTCCATGAAGTAAAAACTAAACATCAAGAAAGTCGTTGGATAATCCTATTGAAGGTTCTTTTGGACGAAAGTCGACTAAGATGTCTTTATTTTAATCTCTTATTTTAAACACACTACAAAAAGAAATCCACCCAATCCAACCTCCCTGTGCCCAGGGAGGGTAATTGAATTCAGCAGGGAAGAGCGGGTGATGAGTTTTTTACATTCAAACTACATGTACAAACAGGTCATTCACGACTTTCAAAATGGTGCGATTGGTCACGGTCGTTGACCAGGGCACTTGGGACGAAGCACTAAAACGAGGTCTCAAAGGTTAGCCTACTTATAGTGAGCTTCAATGGTGTCATGCAAGAGTGTTTTCCTATAAATAACATACCAATCAATCTTTCAAACTTTTGGACACTGCCTACATACAATCTTCGTAGTGATTTCTTGATGGAAGGCCTTTGAGGTCTCGTTTCCATGATTCGTCACTAGTCCCCAATATAGGCGGACGTAAACTGGCGCCATTTTCAAAAGTCGTGTATTGTTATGTGCACAGAGACGGAACAGGTGGTCATTATTTCAGCATTATTTCAATTTTATCTTGCTTGATATCCAACAATTCTGTCGTATTCTTTATCAATATATGTATTCTCTTTGTTATCTAAAATGCAGAGTACAACTCAAGACTCGAGTGGACAGAGTGGGGTAATGATGAACAATTTAGTATCAAAATAGAACCCTCCACCCCACCCCCCTCAAATCAGCAAGATGACATCAGTGCTGAGCTGAATACTGAGGATTTATTTAGAGACATGACCCCAGTGTTCAAGAAAGCAAAAAAGGTATAAAATATCATCAGAAACCTATAAGGGACTTGAAACATCTAGCAACCATACATTTCTTTAGTACCAAGCGTCGAGATATTCAAAGCTCATTAAAAAATTTGAAAACATATGTTATGACCATATTTGGAAAATTCTGTTGTTGGATAAGAGATTTAAGGCCCATTCTGGTTGGCTAGGGTAAATTGAATTATTCCAAATAAGGAAATGAGATGGAAATTAGATTTTTATATTCCAACGGATGGCACGGCGCTACACATTTCAAGTCCCTTATAGGTTATGATACCTCAATCATCATCATCATCATCATTATGCATATCAAGACCTGTCCTCATTTATTAGTTTACTTTGTAGTTTATAGAATAACACTTCAATACATGTACAGCCAGAGATGTCTTTCCTGTTGACATAGGAAACCCAACTTCTTTATAACTCAACACAGGAAACCCAAAAGTTTTAGATCATATCACAGGAAACCCAAAGTTTTTAGTCTTTCTAGATTGACAATCATCATTTTTAGTAACCAACATCGTGCTTGTGTTTGTTAGATTGTAATTAAATCCAAGCAAACAGAGTCTGTATTACMAAGTAATAGTTCACCAAGCCGACTCAATTTTGACATGAACTATCCACCGACACAGGTATGATATCATGCTGCATTACTAAGGACATAAAAATATATTTTAAACAATATGAACCAAATTAGAGTTCAATGCAAAGTTTGTGTTCAGCCCAAAACCTTTGGGTTGAGAGCTACTTTAGGCTCAGTCGTCACTTATGTTGTACTTAAATTTTGTCTATGTTGTTTAACTTCCATTTTGCCATTTCCAATTTCTAATTTCTAATGTTCGTTCAGTTATTTTTTGGCTTAATACATTTTCTGYAATTGGACATTAGCTTCCAGTCTCCTCGCAGCCATTCTTAGTGAGGCCGGGGACAGGGAACCCACCACTAAGAACGGCTGCGAGGAGACTAATTAGCTTGTGGTCTATTCGTTTTTCAACACTAACGAAAAGTCTTTGAATAATACATTGAAAAGATAATAATTATTTATTCTTATCATTGCTTGTTGTGCACATCTTTTACAGGGCTCGAAATAACAACCAGATATATGCAGGACAAGATGTCCTCCAAATTCATTTTTGGCAGGTCATGTCACGGACAAAAACTGTATTATACTATTATTTTCTTTTAATTCATAGGTTTTTGTATTCAGAAAGATCTGCAAGCATTTTTTAAAATGGCTTGTAAAAGATTTATTTAGCCAATTGAGAACTGATTGTTTTTTTTATTTGTCTAAAAATGTCTCAGGTCAATTTGTGCTTTCAAAACCTGATTTGGCTGGTCATCTAGCGAATTTGGAAGGATATTGTCCTTCTACCAGCCATTATTTCGAGCCCTGTTTTACATATAAATTTGAAATTTGAAACTCAGATGTTTACTCTAAATTTCTCTCAATGAATGCGATTCTTACCCGGGGGGTACTCCCATATATTTGCTATACGGGGACGTGCCGCTGGCCAGGGTATGGTTTTTGGCCTTGCTGTCTTAAATAGGGTATACATTTCACCCGAAATTGTCTTAAACAGGCTCTACAATTTTTTTTTGTGTGTGTGTCTTGGACAGGGTAATATTTTCATAACACCGT